AAAAACAAAATGCCGCTTTGCATGAAAACAATTACTTGCGGATCAAAAAGAGATAAGTGCTCAGTAGAACTGATTTGTGAAGAAGGAGGAAAATTAAAATCAACGCCTCCTGGACTAAACGAAGAAGGGAAATGCATGAATACATCATACAACGGCTTGAGTAGAGGTGACGAAGAAGAGAGTAGAAGAAAAGGACTCCAAAAGTCGAATTTATGCTAAGGCGTGGTTCGGTCTCGAGAAGCCTTTTTGATACATTCTACCGAGGCAGACTGTGGGAGTCGTGGTGATAGTCATGATGCTGACTGATGTGAGCAGTGAACTCAGCCGTTTGTCTGCTTTACACGCAGACGCAGATGCAAAATAGGCAATTTGCCAGATTCACCTAATCCTCGCCTCACTAACCAGCCTTAGCATAGCAACGGCCCAGACGCATCCCCAAGATTGGGCCAAAGTGGCGGCCATGAGTGGCCGGTTTGGAGGGAAGTCGAATAAAACTCGTCCCAGTCGGCCAGTAACTGCTCGTCCGCCCTCAATCGGCTCAATCGGCTTAATCGAGAATGGGAAAAAGAGACTCCTAATCTCGTTTCAAGTTTGGGCTGAATTCCCTATTTTCACGCAAGCCAGTTTTGCTGCCTCTTACGACTTGTCGCATTTATTGAGCAGACAAGTTGAGCCACTTCTCCGCCGTCGTCTCATCCTCGTCAGTACCGTTCAAGCCGCTATTTCTATTCTTCCAAGTGGACTGACACAAATATCGGCCTCCTCATCCAGAGCCTCCACGATGGAACGACAAGCAAGTTTGAGTCGGACGAAGGTCTGCCTCCTCAAAACAACCAGAAGAGGAAATCTCCAAAAAAGGCCAGACGACAGACTGACAACCTGGACTAATTGAAGAGGACAGATGAAAAAGGTAGAAAATGCCAAGACTCAGCTTTAATTGTGAGGCGATATTTACATAAATCCGGAAGTCTCATGGCAGCATGGGAACACATTTTTACAATCTCGGCAGCCCCATTACCAGCAGCAGAGGTTTAAGGTGGAATAGACCTTGGAAAGAGTCTCTTGAAAAGCTTTTTTTCCTGATTTTCTGGTTGCGAATCTGCTTGCTTCAGAGCTTTATGGGATGATCTCAGTAGAAGATGGTAGTGGATACCTGTTGCTATGCGATCGAGTTGACTTAAAAAAGCGCCCACATACCTGCTCATTCTAAAATAGGCACTTGGAGAGAAGCGAAGCGGAAGTAACCAAGTGATTTTATGTGCTGAGCTTACTTCCGTCTCGAGTGAAAGTTTTGGGTGAAGAACGTATTTTAGGTTAATTTAATGAACTGTAATGAAATATAATGTTATGTAATATTCTGTAGTGCAATGTTATGCAAGGTATTTATTGTCATATAATATACTGTAATATACTTTGTTGTAATGTAATGTAATGTAATATAATATAACGTATTTTACCGTAATAAAAAGACAATCTAAAATCAAAGTCCGTAGTTTAATATTAAGAAAGAGCCAATTCCTCCTGAAGCTTCTCTATCAAAGTCTATCTTCTTTCTCATCAAGCAGTGCATTTGCATTCAATATATTCTTAAGATATGTACCTTGATTTAATGTGATATAACGAAATGTGGGTTAATTAAATGTAGTGTAATGCAATACAATCCGCACAATACACGTAGACCAAAAAAGCAGCGGCCCGGCAAGTTGAACGCGTTCGCTTTTTACAATTATGTATATTTCGTAGGTTTGCTCCAAGATTATGTATTATCAACAGACAAACTTTGCCTAATGGAACTAATCGAGTCCCGCAGAGCGCATTCCGCAATTTAGTTAATATTAGACGCAAGAAAATAAGATAGCATTACGATTTTTGGTAAAGAGAAAAATCAGATTTCGCCAATCAATGGATAAAACTCTAACCCGAAAGATGTTTCTAAATGAGAAAGAACGGCTAAATGGAAGATTATATGGTATGAGAATCAGACGTTAGGAAGAAAGAGTGGCAAACTTCTCTAGAACAGCATTGGACGTTACCAACGAAGAAGTGGTCTCGAAAGGTTGCAATTTTGCTCTACCAAACAGTAAAAATGTTATGAAGGAGCTACTGATGGAACTCATAAATGTTACCGACCATCTACCAGAAGAAACTAGGAGTGATATTCAACCACAGGTCATTCCTTTACTCGATAGCCACGTGGAAATGGCACACAAAAACAAGAGAGTGAAAGACATCATCAGGAGCCTGAGTGGTGAGGAGGAAATGGTGTCAAGAGCGGTTCTAGTTAAGGGTAGGTTGAGCCGAGAGAACCCTACAGAAACTTGGGGGTCGCCTGCAGCAGTGCGTAACAAATGGGGAAGTGGAGAAATGGAGGATGAGCACTCTTCTTGGCCTCGGAATGCATATATTTCTGTCCTAAATGCATAAACATGGAGTCCAATTTGGAATTATTGTCAATTCTAAGGGAAGCCTGATGCATAAAAGATCACGATTTCATTGTAACCAGTTAAAAATAATCTCGTAGACGTGGTAATCTTTAGTTACGAATTCTAATACATCCCAATTGTCGATGAGCAAAAGATGTAAAGTGGGGCATAGCTGGTAGGTTTTGATGTTGAGTCTAGATACAGTTAAATTCCAGAAAGTGTCGCCAAATAGGCTCTGCAATCCACACTAGCCCGACACGTAGAGATTTTAAGGAGCACGAAGTTAAGTAAAGTGTTAATAATGATAATGACCAACCTGCGATACAGCATACACTATTTACGCTTAATGGCGAACTGAAGGAACAAACACGAGGTCGAGCTACGGGATCGTGTTTGTCACCAATTCTCGCAAATATTTACGTTAATTATTTTTCGTGTTTGAGTAGAGTTTCGAGACTACCAGTAAATCAGTAATATGAGATGCAATCACCCAATTTCGTTTAAGCTGATGAAGTAGAATTTTCCCACAACCAGATGAGTAGAGCCGACGTTTCCATTCAATTTCACACAAAGTTGTTCTCATCCTGGTTGAAGTGGACTGCAGTTTCGACCTCGCCTCAACTGGTCTTATCCTCACTCCCAGCGGGAGACGAACCGTGACAGTGCAGAGTGTGATTTTGCCACGTCTGCCCTTTGGCGCAGGGCAGATGTGAATTTCAGGGAAGACAAGGCCTTTTCCCATATCACATTATCTGGTGGGATTGTCGATGAATCAAACATATCTTTTGCTATAACAATCGATTACGCTCATTATTTTTCATGTTTTAGTAGAGTTTCGAGACTAACAGTAAATCAGTAATATGAGATGTACAGTTACGTGCCTTAATTTGAGCAATTCCTAATTGAGGAGGCCCTTTTAGTCACTAACTTATTTGTTCATTACATGGACGACTATTTTGCTGTTTGGCAGATTGGCAAAGAGAATCTGGAGCATGGTGTGGTTTGATGAAGAGGATAGATGGAAAGACGAAATTCCCACCGAGTTGGAAAAGGAAGATGGGCAACTCTTACTTGATGTCCTAGTCAGCAAAGAGGGGACCAGATTAGGTAGACATTTGCATTTGAAGCCCACAAATGCAGGTTTCCTCTGGAATATTTTCTCCAACCACGCGTTTTGGGTTAGAGTAAGAGTTCTAAAGTCTATGATAATAAGAAGCCTGCGTCTGGTAGAATTTAAACATTGGGACCAGGAGTTGATGCGATTGAGGAGGAGTCTGGTTAAGAACAATTATCCACGAGGACTGATTGACAATTATTTGGCAATATTGTCAATTGGGATGTTGGAAACACTTATCTGGGGCAAAATTAAAGGTTAGACCACTCTAACAGAGTCTTTATGCTGTAATCTGGCCAAGAAGTTGGGCGAATTACTGAGGGGCTGGGACATCTGGGCCATTTAGAAATATAAAATAACAAATTTTCTCGGTTTTTCTCTTCTTTCCGAGGATACGCTGACCTGCTCTCCAGATCGAGCTATTAGACGATTTTGTCTTCATGCAGTAGCGTATAATCTAATCTAATCTAAATTAATTTAACTTGATTTATCGTATTATAATGCACTGTAATGCATAGCGATGCAATTAATAATATTAATAATAAATAACTCTATACATATTTACTAAACTCTTCATTCATAAATAAATAAATATATACATACATACATATAAATAGTGGTTCCCATACAATATAACAATAAGTGTCTCGCTATTTCGCACAAGCTACCATTTCAAGCACTTATCCAATTTTGAATAAAATGCAATTAAAAATGCAAGTATTAAGAATTAGCCAATTCCTCCTGAAACTTGTTTATCAAAGTCCATCTTCTTTCTCTCCAAACAGTTTTCTTTAAAATCTGGGAGAAAATTGTTAGCATCAATCTTACCGAAATAGAAGACTTGTCTGTTTCCTCTTTGGTTTTGTGAACATCTGCCGATTTTGTTTGCACCCCCGTTTCTTTTGCAGTCGCCTGGCCTCGGCGCATCTCTTTTGTGTCCATTTTAGGGGAATCAGAAGCATTGGCAGACAGTGACTCTTTGGCAAATCTGCGCAGTCGTTTAGGCTCGTTGTGTCGTCTGCGTTGGCGTTTTAGACGTTGTTGTTGGTGTTGTTGTTGTTGTTGTTTTCCTCCGCTAATATCCATCTTCGTCGACTCTCTGTTTATCTCCTCCGGCTCGTCGGGTTGCCATGCGCCGAGGTCTTTGGCCTCGATTTCTACTGGCTGAATCGGGCGAAGAGGATGCTCGTCAATGGCCGGCAGTCGTGGAACGTAGACGATGGTATCCTGAACCATCATGTCGGCCTCCTCCATTGGCCACTTTGAGGGCTGCTTCAAAGACGCTTGTGAGGATTCAAAGGGTTGTGGCAACTTAAATGACTCCATTTCTGCGTCTCGGCTGTCTGACAGGTCCGTTCTGTCTTGTCTTCCAGCCGCCCGGATGGCATACTTTTGGCGTGGAGGTGGAAAAGGAGGAAGAAACAACGGTTGACAAGCAGTTTACAGGCGCGGCAAGAGGATACTACTGACTTAAGTCCTCTACACGAAGAGCAGCTTGGTTTTGATGCTTACTGTACCATGTTTTCGTGTAGCAATGAACCCCATTCGTCAACAGCGATGCTCCATCCATCCTTCGTAGGCCAACCTCATAAGAGCGTGAAAGCATTCTTTCTCAAAATTGCAAAGCCCTAAGGTCGACTTCAACTCGGCCTACCTTTACAGTCCAACTTTATCCACGTTCTGAAAAGTATCGTGACTTGTTTGGCTGTTTTATGCTTTTCTTACATTTTTGCAGACAAGCGAAATTGCTGCCAATGATGTGAAGTGGATGCAGTCGTGAATGAGCAGCCGTTTTCTCATCAAAAATCACTTTCATTTTTGATTGTCAACTATTGTCATGAACAGATTTGCTCATTCGCCCACATGTTGTGTCTACGCAATGCACATGATTCGTATGAGCTATACGAAACGGAGCCAAATCCATAGACACAATTACAAGGCAGTCCCTCCACAGTTTATGAAGGAAGGTACAACTCTCTTTCATTCGTATTTTCAAACGAATCAGAAGACACAACATCACATCTCAAAGGACTCATGATGCTCCTTCATGCTGTCCTATTAACAAAAAATAGCCGAACACAGAACTGCATGTAGAAGCTGGTGAATTCATCAACAGCCTAGCACAGCAACCGAATGGACAAGAAATGGAATAGAGAAAAACTGGGTTTCGAAGAATTTCATGGTAAATAATTGCGGCATTGTTCTGCGTTTCGAAGGGAAAATTGGTTGGATGGACTTTCCGGTGAAGTCTCACCCGAAACCGAAGGAGGAATGTCGCGTAAGAAATCCTCGGCTCACCGTTTCGTCACCCCGAATCAACTGTGCTAAGCTTTCGTCTGTACCACCTTGACGGACATCATCAGAGCAAGATTTCATAGCTTGTGAAATAGATCGAAAGAAAGACTGTTATTATGCTACACGCTTTGCTGGACATGTAGACTGTACCAAGCGGGAAATACATGCAAATCTACAAAACAGTCAACACCCTGAATATAAGAAATGACTGCTGGAGGTCAAGTAGAAACTGCTTATGTCTGTTGGAAAGGTTCAGAGAGAGAGAGAGAGAGAACGAGAAATCCCCATACACTTTTCTCTGAGTCTACTCTTTCATTCGCCTTTTCAAACGAAATCATACGAACTCCAAACACATAAGCATAAATCTACAATTACAGCTCCAAGGAAATCCCAATACACTTTCCTCTAAGATTACTCTTTCATTCGCCTTTTCAAACGAAATCATACAAACTCCAAACACATAAGCACAAATCTACAATCACATCTTCAAGGAAATCCCCATACAGCTTCTGATGGAACCAACTTACGAATCTCTTCCACTCTTCTTTCCAAACGAAATGAGGTGCCCCAACATCAATTAATTATTCAATTAATTATTAATTGATTCTTCGAAACTCTTTTTTTCTTCATACCACAGATGATAACAAGTAAAAAGTTGGGCAAAGTTTCAATCGGTGGATTATTCACTTTGGCCATGAATAATACCCATTTCATCTTCAGTGCCAAGTTGTATGAGCAAGCATGTGGTTTAGCCACGGGATCTTGCTTGCCACCATTTTAGTTAACAACTGCCCGACTCAATTGGAGGCTCCTGTTCTTCAATAAATGCAATCTCACTTCCAGAGTTATAAATTGGGCATATGGAAAAGTACTTTGTCGTTCGGCAACCCGACAAAGATTGGCACAAATCTACAATCACAGCTCCCACACAATCCCCATACACTTTCCTTTGAAACTACCCTTCCATTTGCCTTTTCAAACAAAATCATACGAACTTGAAACACATATGCTGTGCGGCTC